TCTTTGGAGGGCGATAGAGACATATAATTGTAAGATTGTATTTGTTATCAGTCACAAAGTTTATGGAAGCAGCTTCAAACGATGTGCATGGTGTTGCTAGCCATTCCTTGGCTTTAGGTGGTGATGCGGTGGAGCGAAAAATAAAGGCTATGCCTCCCCCTTCTCTGTTCTTACGTGGAAAAGATTATTAGTCCCGTAATTCCAATCCAGCTGAAGCCAGATCCCACAGGAAAAGGTTCTAAATCAATCTCCACCTAAAAATGAAGAAACTTCTGCTCTTGAGAAAAAGAGGACTTTCAAACAGCGTACGGCTACTTGAAAGACGAGGGACTATCAGCCAGGAATGAAAATAGATGTGATACATAAAATAATACTGTGGCTGGAGGAGCCTCCTGTCAGCAATAACTAAGGTAAACACACACAGGACAAGGAGAAAGTGAAGGGGAAGAGAAAATGGATTTACGAGGAGGAGAAGAAGGCAAAAGAGAAGGAGCAGGAGGATGATGAGGATGCGGAGGCGGAAGAGCAAGACATACAGCAGCAGAGGCAGCATCAAAGATGAGCTGAATTCACAAGTCTCACCTCTTAAAATGAAGAATTCAAAGAAGAAAAAAATGAGAAACGAGTGCTAGCTGAAGCAAACGCTCTAAACAAAAATTGTACGCACCAGTCAAATCAACCCGTCTCTGTATTTGCCAAGCTTGTCCTGCAGTCAAGCTGTTTGTCAGGTTCTCCTGAGTCTTGTACGAGCGCTGAGATGTCAGCGTGCCTTGGTGTTCCATCGGTATGTCAACAGTCACCTATGAGGTTAAACTTTTCACAAGAGCTTTCTTGATCCACTGCCTTTAAGTGATGCGAAATTGAAGATAAATGTCACTTTATTTTTTATTGTCAAAATTTTGCCCATAAAAGGAAATTGTTAATCCCCTCCAGCTTGACTTGGTCCAGTGACAGAAATATGCAACATTTGACCCATGATAAGAGATATGTGCAAAACCTGTACTTTTTCATTATGGAAACTTTACTTAATAAATAACCGTTTTATGTGATGGGATTTGGGCCAATAGCCTTAAACACTGAACAAAAACTTACTTACACTCCCGGTTGGATCACTCCTTCCCTCTTCTCCTTTTTTTTAAAAATGGCAGCTCCCTAGCTATCTCCCTCTTTAGCCTGTTTTCATTCAGTCCTCCTTACCCCATTGCTCCCCATTCCCAGTCACTATAAAATTAATAATAATATGTGTACTAATCCACTCCCACCCCCCTCCTCTGCTAAGCTTCCCGATACACACCATAGATCTACTATCCTGCAGCACAATACTTCCCTCGTAATCCTAAGAGGGTGCAGTGGCTGAGCGGTTAGTGCGCTCGTTTCCGAAGCGGAAAGCCCGGGTTCGAGTCTCGTTTCGGACACGG